GGGCCGGGGTGTGTAATGCAATCGAAAGGCTTGTCTCTGCCAGGGCAGAAGGAAATTGTGAGAGATTTACATTATGTGACAAAGATTCCCGAAAGCAGCACTTCTCCCACGGCCTGAAATGATGATATTTGCTGTTGGCAGATGGAACTGAATTGGAAAAAGAGAGACCTCACTAGCCGATCGTCACTTCATTTTACTCTCTTGTGGCTGACGTCCAGAGGGATGCGGGGAGGGCCCACGCACAGGCAGGCTCCCGGGATTGTTTCCTCCGCTTCTGCTTTTATCCCTCAGCTGCCAGAGGCCCAAGGAAGCTGTAGAGAAAAGAGGTAAGGCCACGGAGCGTCCCGTGTGTGAGCAGCGCGGCCTGGGGCAGGTGGCCCGTCCAGCCGGAGCTCTCTTCTCTCGTGCGGAAGAAGCAGCCAACACTAGGGATTTGCCTGCCCACCACCTCCTGTACCCAGGGGTGTTTACCTGTTGTCATCTCTTCAGACTCCAGGTTTGCATTTCATCTTGGAAGGGGGAAGGAAGTTCAGGCCTATCATATTCAACCAACAGTTTCTGAGACTGAGGGGGGACATCTCACCAAAGAGCTAAGTAACAGGGCAGTGGAGTGGAAAAGCGGGCCTCTATGAAGGTGCCCATATCACCTTTATGAAACAACAAACACACTTGTCATTTAACTATTTATTTTAGAGCCCACGTGAATTATGTTAGCAAATCCTCAGGATAACTCTCTAAGAAAGATGCTCTGGCTGTTCCCATTTTATAGGAGGGGCAGAAGCTTAGAGGTGGGACTGTGATCCAGGTCAAGTAATTCATCCGGGTGACCCGTGAGGTTGCTCAGGTTGTGTACTGCACAAAGGAGCTAAAGCTAAGAGGATAACATTTTACATTGCAGACAAATGCCCACTTACATGACAGCGTGCTGTGGGCACAGGCTCCGGCCTCCCAGCACATCTTAGAGCAGCAAGTCTTTCATCAACCCTCTCAGGCACCCATGGCTTGGCCTCCAGTCAGAGACCCAGGAGCTCACGCATTCACTGGGACTGAGCCCCAAACATGATCCCATTTGTTCTTCAACCTAATTCAACTCATAAATGTGAATTACTGGTTTTTTAAAAAAGATTTATTTATTTATGCATACAAGAGCTGGGGTGCAGACCGGGGGTGAGAGGAGTCACCACAGACAGAGTGGGGAGCAGAACAGGTTTATCTACTAAAATACACTGCTGAGGGGAGCAGCGGGTGAGACAGAAGAGGTCTGCTACCCAGGGAGGGTAGCTCCCTGGCTGGGGATTAAACTCATGCTGCAGTGGCTGTGGATAGCTTCACAGTGCTGCGCCTTAACTCCTTGCACCACCAGGGAGACCCCTGAATTACTGATTTAAATAGGAAAACAGACAGAGAAAGTGGAGGACATAGCCCAACCCTCACAGTCTGGAAGTTCAGCTTCCATAGCACACACCTGGGTGGGTTGACTTATGGAGGACATCAAGGTCACAGCCTGTCACTTACCAGCTAAGACACCTTGGGCAAAGTTCTAAGAGCAATTTTCTGGCCTCGTTTTCCTTTTCTTATCACAAAGGGATATTGTAAGGGCTCCACAGCCTAGGGCCTGGGTGCCTTTTGCAAATGTGAAGTAATGTAGGGGTTCACATTTTCTTTGTCCCACACTCAGGGGTTCTTGGGAACTAATCTCCATGCCCCTCCCTTACCAGAAAGGGCTGTGCTTTCCCCAACCACAGACACAGGCACCCCGGGCCTTCCCAAACTCCGACCTGTGCAGCGTGTTTAAATAAGTCTCCTCCAAACTCTGCCCCGCTGCCATCGGCGACCTACTTTCGTTCAGTTCCCTTGAAAGAGACCGTTAGCCCAGTTCACTCTGTGTAGTCTGACAAATGTGTCTCTTCATTAGGGTGAACCCAGCCCTTGGAGGCAGCCAGTAGGTCACGTGCTGGCAAGGTTGCCATGGAAATTATTCACTTTTATTGAATTATTCATTGGCTCCGTCCACCTAGAACAAGTTCGCAGGCTCATATCGGTGACAGACAAGACAGAAGCGACAGCCCGGGGTGACAAGACAAAGCAGAGAACTTGGGTCAGAGACCGCTGACTCCTGCCCCCCTCAGTTATAGGGGATGGCGATTCTGTGGTGACTTGAGGTAGATTCTCACTGCAGACTGCCAGGGTTCAACATTAAGTTCTCCCGTTTTCACCAGTGAAGAAACAGGAATAGACAGATGTCCACCTTTCAGAGTTGTTATGGTATTTTGAAATAAAATATATATAAATTACTTGGAATAACTTTTACTATTTTCTTGTAAATTATGATAAGGGGCCTCAGTTTCTCTATCTGTAAAATGATAGTGTCAGACCAAATAATTTCTATTTTTAAAAATTTTTTAGAGGCCTCTCCGGTGGCGCAGCGGGTTGAGCACAGCGCTGTGAAGCTGTCCGCAGCCTCTGTAGCGTGGGTTTGACTCCCTGGTGACTAGGGAGATTCCCACATGGCGAGGCAGACCTCTCCTGTCTTGCCCGCTGCTCCCCTCAGCAGTGTTTTCGGTTGTCTGCCTGTTCTTCTCCTCACTCTGTCTCTGGTGAATCCTCTCACCCTCCTGTGCCTCTGGCCTGTACCCCAGTTCTTGCATAAATAAAATAAATCTTAAAAAAATTAAAATTAGTTTTTTTTTCTTACGTCATTGTTCGTTTTTGGACGGTATTTGATTTCTACCCTCAGGGGTAGTCCCCAGAGTTCTCTCACCACCATTGTATCCGTGATCCATCTCCCCCATGCTGTGTTTACAGCAGCAATATTTACAATATATTTATGATAGCCAAGACATTGAAACAACCAAATACCCCAAAACAGACCAAATAATTTCTAAAGAGGCTTCCAGCTCTGATGCTCCCAGCCATTAACCGTGGAGTCAAATGGCATCTTTTTGCATGAATTGGTGAGTTTCTCAGGGACACAAAGTCCATCTCCCTCCATAGACATTGTCCTCTTCCCAGTGGTACCCACAGGTCAGACTTGTGAGGTGATTATGAGCTACACATCCAAATAAGGCCTGTTGCAATGTCAAAGTCTGGAGAATAATTGGTCCTGATTCCTTTGACTCTCTCAGGCTAAGGGAGAGGGAGTGGATGAGGGGGTGTCATCTCTGATAGGCTGTTAACCATCAATATCAACCTAATGGATGAGGTAATTTTTCCTGCAACCTGCAGAGATCATCCAGGCATGCTAGTATTATCTTTAAACAACCAGTTCTCAGTAGAGTAAAAATGAAAAAATCAACAGTGTGTTATTTGCTTTTTGGTATTCTAACCTGAGACTTATTTTTTTTAAGTGGTCAATTCAACAGATGTGTCAAGATGTAATAAAGGGAGGCTAATAGCAGAAGTACCAGAAATTGCCTAAATGTCTATGGGTAGGAAGTGACTACATAATTGCCAGGTTCTCTAATAATTCACCATCTAGCCACCACTTGAGTAACTTAGATATGTCTTCATTGACTAGTCCTGATGCATAAGGTACAGGACTGCGTGAAAGCAGATGTCAATAGCAAGTGCAATAAAGTCCATATAAATAAAACCTATAAACATAAATATACATCCCAGATGTCTAGGGCTAACCTACACTCACATATAGAAAAGGTTGTCCTGGGGCCTCCCTGGTGGTGCATGGGGTTAAGACACAACCTATGAAGCTATATGCAGCCACTGCAGCACAAGTTCGATCCCCAGCCAGGGAGCAACCCACATGGCGCAGCAGACCTCTCCTGTCTCACCCGCTGCTCCCCTCAGCAGTGTATTTTGGTCAATCTGCCTGTTCTGTTCCCTACTCTGTCTCTGGTGAATTCTCTCACCCCCCATACCTCTGGCCTGTACCCCAGTTCTTGTATGAATAAATTAATCTTTAAAAAAAATAGAAAAGGTTGTCTTGAACCCCATCCACAAATTGGAAAACTCCTGATCCCAATAAGCTGTGAATTCCTGAAGGACTTTTGTTCCCACACTCGTGTCTGGATTCTCTAGCCCGCCTCCCACCTCCGTGCTCCTGCTGAATTACCTAGAGATTGGGATTGTCCTACTGTCCCATGTCCCTGTTTTGGTTTCCCACCATGACAAACTGATAGGTTTTCAACCTTCTCTTAACATGCCCCCCAGTACTCACACTCGGACTGTGTGTGTGTGTTGTTAACACATGCAGTTAAGGCTTCTGGAAGCCCTGAGGTTCCTCACCTCATCAAGGCTTCTGCCATCCCTGTTCTTCATAAGTCCCTGACCACTCCCATACTCAGGGGTCAGCCTCCTGCTGGGCTGTGCTCAGCTCCTTTATTTTCCTTTCTATTTTCAGCTCTATTGCGCTAGCAAGCTCTTGATTGGCCCTGGGAGTTCCAAGTGCTTCTCACTTTATGAAGCAGAGCAATTCAGTCCTTTGCTGCCCCAACTTCCAAGTTCAGATTTAGGCCACCCTCACATGTATCCAAACCCAGGCTCAGCTCACAATGGACCTTTTGGTAAACAAAACCTAGCCGCCTCAGAAAGCAGTTGGGATTGAAGATAGCAATGTGTTACACACACACACATGTTCATGCAGAAAGAAAAATCAGACTGGAATGTCGTTGACCAGAAGTCATTTCTGGATAATATCATTATTTTGATTTTTTTTTTTTTTGCCTTTTCTTCTCTCTGTATTTTTGCATTATTTTCACTTTCTGAAATGAGCATATATTGGCTTCATAGTCTGAACAGGGGGTAGGGAAGCAATTTTCATTTGCAAAAACCACATCCTCTGTGACACAGATGCACCCCACTCACACATTCCAGTCTGTTCACACATTCATTTAGAATCCCACCCTCAAAAGTCCTGGACATCATCCAGCTGTTGTCCAGACATCACTCCTGACCTCCTGACCTCTGTTCCTCCTACCTGTCCCAGCCTGTGACATCACAAAGGTTAGCAGGCAGTCAACCTCACACCTGCTAGGAGTCCCAGACTCTTGCAGAAACTGACTTCCCAAGCCCTCTGGTCACAAGCACCTGAAGAACAACCACTTCAAGGGCCCCATGAACCAGTGAGACCTGGCCGTGGGGAGAGCACCACCTATTCCCTTCCCCATTTTTTGCAGAAACTCCTAAACTAATAAGTCACACACAGAACTACTGGATTTCCCGGGAGCAAGTCTCAACATGTGTGGCCTCTCACAGGCAGAGTCCCGGCAAGGCGCATGTGGGGCTAGGGATTCGGTGGGAAAGGAGATCTGCTGGGCATGTCCAGTTCCCACATCACGCCTGTGACTGATGTGCACCACATTCCTGTGTGGATGTGTCCTGCAGCTGAAATGTCACAGCTGCTCTCTTGTTGAAGTGACAGAGATTAGTAACATTGCTTTTGTGGCCAAGAAACTCATAAAAGATAAAGTAACCCTTGGTCAAGAAAGATGGATGAAGGCTCAAATTTTAGATTTGAGGAGGAGGAGATGAGGTTTCAGCCTCCACTTCTGCCCTATCCCTAGCCTGGCCTGGATTTCTGCCCAAAAGTGCTGTCTGAGGCTAATATGTATCAGTGAGCAAGAGTAGGACATAAGCCCCCCATCCCCCGAAGTGCCTGGCTCTGAGCCATCCACGGTGGGCACTCAACATCCATTCATCAAATCAAGCTCTTGTACAATGACCCTTCCCTCTTGTTAAAATCCTCACTTAATGAAGAACCTTCTATTGGGCAGGCACCATGCCATGTGCTTCAGTCATGTCATAGCTCATTAAACCATCACACCAGGGTTGCAAGGTAAGTGATATTGCCCATTCTTAATAGATGAGGAAACTGCACTCCACAGAGATTAATGTCAGTAACTAGTCAAAGGTCCCGTAGTCCATGAATCAGCTTTTGTGGCAATAATGCTAGGTAACAATCTGCAACTCAGTGGACAACAAGCATTTACTTCTCTGACAGCTGTGGCTCTGCTGCCCGGAATCCAGGCTGCGGGTCGCTGTATTTCAGGAGTCTCTTCCTTCTCCTGAGACCAGTGGCTACCCAGAACACATGCCCCCCATGGCAGATGGCAGAAGAGCAGGGTTGCAAGGCAAGATGTGCAAATCCATAACAGCCTGTTAGTGAAGCTAGCCTTATGGCCAAGCCACACGTCAACAGGAAAGGAAAATACATTTCACCTTTTCTGCTGGGAGCTTTTGTAAGGTCTCACCACAGAGTGTGGAAGCCTCAATTCAGTAGCAGGAATACAGTTGGTGAAACAATAATAATACGGTCCACATCCAAAGCTAGTGGCAAGGTGAATCCAGGCTTGAACCAAACTCCTTCTGATGCCAAAACCCACTGTCACCCCCCCAGCTTCCCTTCCTCTGTCCCCTCTGCACATGCACAGGCTGAGCTTAAGGCTCACAGATGTGGGTGGTTGGTCAGAGGAGCCTGAAAGTGTTAGTAGCCCTCAGAAAGAGGGTGTTTTAAAGACTGATTTTTTAATTTATGTATGCATACAAGAACTGGGGTGTAGGCCAGAGGTGTGGGGGGTGAGAGGATTCACCAGAGACAGAGGAGTGGGAGGTAGAACAGGCGAATCTACTGAAATACACTGCTAAGGAGAGCAGTGGGCAGGACAGGAGAGGTCTGCTGCACCTTGTGGGTCAGTCCCTGGCTGGGGATTGAACTCAGGTCATAGCAGTGATTGCGCTGAGACTTAACCCCCCAGCCACCAGGGGAGCCCCAATAAAGTGGGTCTTGGGCATCTGGCACATCTTGCTGTGTGATGGGTCAGCCTGGGAAAAAGAACTCCCCTGGGACCTCCCACTCTACTGGTGGTAAGTCAGGGTGTGGGGGGCCAGCGAAGGCCATCAGAGCAGATTTAGCAGCAACACTTGCTTCCTGCCTCCACAGGCCACCGAAACTGTATGCTCATTCCTGACTTCTGGGTATGAGCATACCCCTATATCTGGGAAAGTGCACTGGCTGCACTTTGGGGGGGGGTACATTCCACAGTATTTCATGCAGTATACCGCCAACATCTGGAACATTATTGGGAGACAGGACTACTAGTATCTGGGACAGTTTACTTGCAGCATCTAGAGCTTGAGGTGCTCTAAACTGGACATGACCATCTCAGGTACTGGCCAATGTGGCCTGGAATCCTAAGTTCCAGTCTCAGCCCTGATGCTAACTTGCTTGTGTAGGGCATAGATACCCCTCTGTGCCATGAAGGAGCAGCGGGCTACTGTGTGTCTATGGAGCCCTCTCAGCCGGCGGCTTTCCAGGTCCCAGGCACCCCCTCACAGTGCTGGTTCACAGCCTGGGCTTGCTGAGTGCAGTGAGTGAGCCCCAGCTGCCTTTTGTATCTCTCCAACTCACCTGTGCCTGTCACAAAATGTCCAGGGCCCCAAGCCTTCAATTCTAGGAACAGAAAATTGGGAGGTGCCCAGATCCTGCAGGCTGGAAGCAAGGCTGAGGCTGGATTGCTCAGTGTGAACAGGACTCTGAGCCATTCAGTTCTAGGGCACTCCCCCAAAAAACCTATATAAGGCTGTGCTTAGAGAGTCAAGGAGGGAACCAGTGGCCATGTGTGCTTGGAAAACAGAGGGGGTGATGGCAGAAAGGAAAGAGGAGCTCTTGTTGCTCCAAGTAGGAACCACAGACTGGTAGCAGCAACCTCTCTGTGGAGCAGGTTTAAAACACAGATTTGGGGCACCCCTGGTGGCGCAAGGGGTTAAGCACCATGATATGAAGCAATCCACAGTCTCTGCAGCATGCATAAGGTCCCCACTGGCCAGGGAGCTACCCACATGGTGAAAACCTCTCCTGTCTCACCCACTGCTCCCCGCAGCAGCGTGTTACAGTCAGTCTGCCTGTTCTGTTCCCCACTCTGTCTCTGGTGAATCCTCTCACCCCCTGCATCTCTGGCCCATACCCCAGCTCTTGCATGCATGAATAAATAAATCTTTGGAAAAAATAAATAAATAAAACACAGAGTCTTAGGCCCTGCCCCAGAACTGCTGACCTAGAATCTGCATTGTTAACAAGCTCCCAGGGTGATTCTTGTCTGCATGACAGCTTGAGAAGTGCTGATGCAGCAGACACCATTGCTCATTGCTGCTTTACCCGCTCAGATTCCTTTTCCAGGTTTCATCTACTTGGCTCCTAAAGTGCCTTTGTCCCACAGCTCACACCTGTGTCTCTGCCAGAGGGCTACCCCGGGGTTGCTGGAGGCACCTTCGCTGGTGGTGCAGAGAGCCAGAGGGCCTGGAAATTTGCTATATCTTCCCAGGGGCAGCCTTTAGCCCAGAGGTTCTAGAACTTGCACAGTTCATGGAGGTGTCCCAGTAATTTTTTCATGTCACTTATCCCGAGGCCAAAAGTAATACTTCACCATTCCATTTATTAAGTAGTGAAATCCAAACAGCTTCACTAGTCTTTATATCCTAACAGTATGGCAGCTGTTTGGAAATAGAAAAAGTATAAATTAAAACAAAAAAAATTATATTCTTGTCCCATTCACAAATAACTGTAACTTCTTATGAATGGGACACGTGTGCCTGCTGGGCACTGCACGACTTTTCAAGTCTTACAATCAGAGGGGCCAGCCACTCTTGTTTCCTTTTCTGTGATTTCCACACTGTACTTGCTTTTTATGATAACTAGCACCCAGTTTTACCTAGATATGACATCATCCGCAGGAATGTATAACCTTCGAAGGTTGAAAAATCCCCAGAATTAAAATCCCATGGCAGACAAGTTACCTTGGCAAAGGTTTGGGAATGATGGTCTAATCTTTGAGGGTGATGGGGTATATATACTCCAGCTCCCTTGCCCTGCTGCTGGACTGAACCCCCTGTGGATCCTGCTTGATATGGCTCTCACACCTGGCCTTCTCCCCTTCCTTTCTCTCCCCTTCTTACTCTCCTTAGTTCACTCATCGATTCTGCGAACACCACCTAAGGATACCCCTTTCTCAAGATCCTTCCTCTCAGGGCCTGTTTTAGGGATCTGATGAACTTAGCCTAAGAAAAAATTGAGCAGGAAGAGGGGGCTGGGGCCCATTAGGAGCCAGTGCTGGCAGCAGGGGAGAATGTGCCCCTCAGCATGGATGGTGGGAGCAGTGGGGAGTTGAGGGAACAGATCAAGTCAGAGAATCTTAAGGAGGTGGCATTAGTGGTCTTGGTCGCTGATGATGGGGTTGGACTGATGAGAAATGTCAGCCCTCTCTGGTTTTACCTTTGCATGGAGATGCCACGTGGAGACCAAGAGTTGGGGTGTGCTAGGAGAAGGAAATGAGTACCTTTTCCAGGCAAACCCTGAAATCCCAATTCTAAAAAAAGAAGAAAGTACAGCAGCAAACTTCCCCACCCACTTTTTTTTAAAAAAAGGTTCTGTTTAAATGTGCACTTGATGTGCTATTCCCAGCTTCATTAACCCCCTAATAATTATACTAATTACTGCACACTCTCTGTGAGGATGTGTTCAGAAGCCCCAGCTCCTGCTTGGCTTCAGACACAGACACTGTGTTCCTCCTGCACATAACACCCTGAAATGTTTTAGGTAAACAGAGGCTGCACCTGTAGCAAGTCATCTCTGGGGGTGACCAAGCGGAGCCATGGGAAAGCGCACACAGTGGCAGAGCCACACTCAGCCAAGCCCCTTCCCCAAGATGGCATCCAGGGAGCTTTTGTCCTCCAAGGGTGTGGTGAGGGGTTCATCTGCTGAGGGACCACTGGGCGCCAGCTCAGAGACCTGGAAGGCCCCTCCCTCGCCCTGATGGAGGCCTGGACTCTGTGGAAAGGAAACTGGTTACCCCACTGCAGAGACCCCCCTGGAGGAGGGTCCTAGCCAGCTCTGGCAGTCAAGTGGTCAGACGTGCAAGGAAGCAGCCACTTTGGCTCCTGAAGTCCCAGTTGAGTCAAGCCCAGGCTGTTCCGAGCCTGAGACTTGGGACAGTTTTGTAACAGCCACAGATAACAGAAACAGCACGTTCTGCCTGTTTTCAATTGGATTCTTCTATTTGTCTATTAGGCATCACAGAGCCAGTTGTATTACATTCATTTTCTTATGCTCTGTATTCTTTGTGCTCTGCCTAAGGGGCTTACAGACTCCCAAGCTGCCAGAGTAATTCAAGCCAGTCAATCCTAAGGTTCACCCTGCTGTGCCTGCTATCCCCAGGAACCCCAGTCACGTCTCTGGCCTGGACGGCCCCTCAATCCTGCTTCTGCCTCCTGATGCAAAACTTCTCCGTGACCCTGCATGGCTGTCGTACCAGGCCATGCTTTTCTAGGGGAACTGTGAGTACCGTGACACTTTTCTTTCAAGGGCATTGATTGATCTATGTCCTCAAGCAGTCACCTTTATAAAATAAGACCCTGTCAGGAAAAAAAAAAAAAATTCTGAAAACAACTCTTGAAAGGGCCATAGATCTGAGGCATCCAGAGGGGAAGGAGAGGGGAAGGATGGGAGATGGGGGAGCACAGGGGACTATGGTAGAGGACTGTGGGTACTTAGTGGTGGGAGTGCTATGGTGACTACACCCGAGGGGGGAAATCCTGTCAAAACACTATTGAGGATGGAAAACAATAGTACTTCAATAACAACAAATAAATTCTTAAAAAATGCAAAATGATGATAAGACCCAGGCACAGAACATGCCCCTTTAAACTCTGGAAGGAAACACCAGGTGCTGCTCCTCTATAAAGGGGATAGTGGCTCTGAGTGGAAAAGGGTAGATGGGGGACCCCAGAGGAAGACAGAGCAGACACAGCTGTAATTCACAGCTAGGGCATTCCACGTCTGGACTGGCGCTGGACCAGAGCTGTGGCCACTAAGGAGGGGGCTCCTGCACACACAGGAGGGAGGCCAGATTAAAGGCCATGTGGGTTAGTGTTCTGATTCTTCCCTATGTTAGGATCAAACCAATTTAAATAGGGCTTTGCTCCTGCCAGTCACCTATAGCTGGGGGACACCCAGAGAGGACAGGGAATTCTAATGAGCTGACGTGAGGTGTCTGCATCTGGCTTGGCAGGGAGGCCCAGTTCTTGGGGGGCAAAGGGAGGGCTGGCAGGAAATGTTCTTAACTGAGATAAGGAGGGCACGTAGGGTCTGGGGGCCTCTGTGTGAAATGCACTAAGGAGACCCCAGGTGGGGGGACAGGTTAGAAGAGCTGCCCCTCTGGGTAGGCACAGCTACTCAGGGCAATATTTGCCAAAGTACTTCAAAGCAAAGAAAGCATCTTCCCTCCTCCATGGGACATGTAGACTGCTGTGCCTGGGGCGAGAGCCTGACCACAGCTTCCTCCAGCCCTGCAGTAGGACTTTCAGGGCACAGTGCTCAGGGAGCTTATTCCTGTCCTCAGGGAATTGGCACCCAGTGGATTTAGGTGAAAACAAAAAGTTATCTAAGGGAGCCTAGGGGAGAGAGAGCCACTCAGAAAGGAAGACGAGCTTGGGCTTGGCAGAGCAGGTGCTCCGGCTTCTGAGAGTTTGCAGGTTGATGAGGAAAGGGCACTTGAGGAGGATGGACCTGCCAGCACAAAGGCACAGAGGTGGGCACATGCATGGCTTCTCTGCAAATGAGGAGCTGCCCGTGGCGGGTGCCAGGGAGGGCCAGGGGGGGAAGCTCTTCTATTCTCTTTTCATTGTCCTCTTCCTCACCAGGAAGATGAGGATCAGGATCCCACACCCCTCCACTAAGGCCCCACCCCATGGACTCAGCAAATAGTCCTGGTCTGCAGGAGAGGCAGGCACTGAGTCAGTTTCACTTCCATAATCTTCCTCCATCTCCACTTCCAGCTCCCTCTCCACAAAGAACCGTTATCATCGGACCCAAACTCCAGCAGTTGAAGAATTGCTGAAAGCTCTCAAGAAACTTCCCTAAAATTCTGGGACTTCACTCCATCCCGGGGGCAATATGTGGACCACCAGCGAGAGGGGGCAGAACCCAGAGGGCCCCCTCCTCCCATCGTGCCCCGGATGATAAATTCAGCGCCAGAAAAAATAAATAAATCTGTGGGTGTCTTTCCCCTTGAGGACAGGCAACGGCAAAATTGTAATGAATGAGAATGTTTCTGGGTTATGTGTTGGAAAATTAGCACAGGCTTGCATTAATTGAAATTCAGTTCTTTATGTATATCAATTCCCTTTTATCCTTGTGGGATTCGCAGCAGCCACAAAGACGCTGAGCAACAGATTAATCCAAGTGTTGTCAGCGACAATGATAAATTGAGGTTTAAAAGCCTACATTGAGATAAATTACTATTAAAACTCAGGCCTCCTCTCTCCTGTTATGTCTGTAGAACTGAGAATTTGTTAAAATACTAGGTTGCCTTTCATTATTTTCCCTCCTAGGCTTTGAGTGGTGGTTTCTCCATCAAGGGAGGATTTCTCTTTGCCGTGTAGCTGTGAGCTTAAGTTTGATCTTCTGCCCCAGCAAATGCTCACATGGCTTCAACTACCTAACCGACTTCAAGGACTCTCATGCTTGTGCCTGTCCCTGAGTCCACTTTCCTGGGCACCACCCAGGAGCTTGGAATCAGCACCACTGACACTGAAGCTGCATTTCCTCCCCACACTGGCTTCTGAACCTGTGTTCCCCATCTCAGCAACCAAAGGCACTCAGTGACCCACATCAAAACATCCCTGGGCTTCTCCCGCTCCCCTCCCCTGCTAAACCAGCCACTCATTCCTCCAGCCCTCTGTCCCACCCTGGCAACTTTCCTGGTTCAGATGCCCTCGCAACTCCCTGCCCCCCGCACCCCAGGGTGTTTCAACTGCCTCCTCTGTGGTCTCCCTGGCTGGAGTCGCCTCCCCACCTCGTCCCCATCTCCAAATCCATGCGCCTCCTATAAAACCTCTCTGCACCCCTCAGTCTGCTGGAGATAAAGCTCAGGAAGAAATCGAGACTTTGAGCCCCCAGCCTCAAGCCTGGCTCCTGCCCCCACCTGCATTCGGCAAGATCCTTGATGTCCCCAGAATGCACCACACTCTTCCTCGTGCCCTGGAATTGCATCTTTTGGTGGGAATATCTTCCCTGCTCACTGCCATCTGACACTCGCATGGGGTGGAGCTCTGGCTCTCTGGGGGCTCTTGGCATATAGTTCTCTCCCAGTGAGTGTCCTAGCAGCTTGTATGTCCACCACACTTTCCTCATTTTCTCACCCAACTGTGAGCCCTGGACATCAGGGAATATGTACCAGGAATGGGCAGGAGCGGTGTGTACATGGGCAGGCTGTGCCCAACATCCATGTTTGGGGTTGAAGGCCAACAGGCTGCAGGTAGCCAGAAAAAGACAGAGGGGGGCCACGGAGAGAGAACACTCCCCACTCCCCACACTCAGGGTCTTGCCTGAGGTCCCATGGAAAAGGCAAGCTCTGCAGAGACCTAGAATCCCAAGCCATGTTTCCTCCTGCCTTCACTCCAGCTGACATTCCCATGATCCCACTCGCTCCCTCAGAAGCCACAGGACCCCCCAAATAGCAGCAAGAGCATGCTGTAATAGTACCTCACGGCGGCAGCGGGGAGGGAGACAGTGCAGGAGGAATGAATTCATATTAGTTTATTCCCAAGATCAACATACTGAAAGCTTCCTTCATTAAAATTGCAGCACTGCAAACACGTCCTGGTAAACTTGGGCAAGGAAACTCCTCTCTGAGGGATAAGAAGTTGTTTCGAAATGAAGGCGTTATCTGCCTTGTCGAATCTGATTTTTCAGACCCCAAAAAGCCTCCATTCCTTCCCCATTTGCTCGCTTTGTACCCCCTCCTCCACCCTCTCCCTGGCTTCCTCCCTCTCCCATTCACTCTGTCCCAACCCCAGCTGCAATTTCCCAAGTAACAATGAGAGACATGGCCTTATAAGCAATCAGCCACTGCAATTTGGGGGTGAATATTCAATTAGTTCCAGGCCAGGGATTCCTGATCAATATTGCCTTCTCAAGGCAAAACAGTGTAACAAACCCTCTTATTAAGCAATTCTAAGCCCCTGCACTGATACCCATGAGTGACAGCTAATCTGTGCTTTAATTAATACCTGCCCCTTGGTTAGCTAGAGCTGCAGCTTACCCTAGGAAGGTTTTCATCCCCCTACCCTCCTCCAGCCCCCTGTGAAGCCGGCAGGAGCATGGTTATTGTGTGAATTTGGATAAAGTCCAAGCCTGACTTTAACCTAGCCCTTTGGTGCCCAGTCCTGGGGCTTAGACATAGAATGTTCAGGAAGGGAGGGAGCCCCACAGCCCAGACCCGGGGGAAAAAATCTGCCATCTCTGTGCATGGGTGCATGCCACATGCATGTGTGTGTATACACACACACAGATTTGCACACTCACATTCCATATCTCTTCGAAGTGACTGTTCACCATGCACTTGCACACCACTCGTGAAGGGGAGCTCACTACCCAACAAGAGACCAGGTGCTCTCTCGGCCCAGCTATGATTATAAGTGGGTGCTTCCTGAAGTGAATTCTGCCTCCATTGGCCCTGGCTCTGTTCTTCAGGTCTCCTGACCTCCTCTCCTCCAAAACCTGCCACTGCCTGCCCTGTGCTTCCTGTAGCTCCCCTTGGCCTGTGAAATGATCCCACAGTAGTTGATGGTAAGAGCCCTCCGTTACAACAGTAACATCACCATCGTCATCGGTCACTTACTATGCACTAGCCCTGCGTTGGGTATTGTGATTTTTTTAACCCTTGGAAAGCACTTCAAGGAAGATGCTGTTATTATCCCCTGTATTACAGCCAGGGAAACTGAGGTACTGTGGACTTAGGTAACTTATCCAAAACCAAGCCATAGATCTAACAAGGTTGGTCTATTTCTCCTCTTTAAAGACTCAGATGTCACTGCATGGGCAAGTCTTCCCTGGCTCTCTCTAGACAGTGTGTCTGCCCCCACCCTGGCCTCTGCTCTGCATCTCGTTTCTGTTGTTGCCTTCATTTCTGGGTATTTATGTATTTGTTAATATTTTGCCTGTCTGCCCCATGTACACCTCTCAGATCAGGCATTTGTGCCTCATTCATTTTGGAATACCCACACTTAGCAGAGCTCAATTCTTAGGCTGTTCATGTATCTATGGAAGGAATGAAAGGCCTAAACTTCTATAGGGGCTACGGTGGCCTACACTGAAATGCCCACAGCTGAGATATTAATCAAAGGAGAATCTAAATGTCAGCACAGCTCTGCAAAAATAGCATGGATGGATGGGTGGGTGGATGGATAGATGGATGGATGGATGGATGGATGGATGGATGGATGGATGGGTGAGAAAAGGCAAGGCAGGGTGATAGATGGCACCCCAGATCAGAGGTATCTGGAGTTTCAGATTCTTGTCTCAGTTCTGTCAGACCCTTTGTAGTCTGAAGAACAAGTCCTGGTCTCCCCATCCATAAGCCTTGACTTGTGTGCATGACTTCTAGACCCTTCTGGCACTAAGGATAGATTTTAGCTGGGCCTTTCAAGATGCAGCTTGTAGAATTTTGTCAACAGCTCCCCAGCATGGCCCTGTGCACCAGACTGCTGGACATGGCTTGCCTGCTGTGCTCCAAACTTCCTCATCTCCTACCTGAAGGATGCCCAAAGGAGCAATAGGAACAACACTAATAGCAATGACACCAGAGCTAACCCTGGATAACAGTCTACACTGAACACTTATCTAAGAACTTTACAACCCCAGTTTCAAAATGTGGGATGCCTGCAAGGACATTTCCTGTGTGGTGTCTTTGAGGCTGTCAGTCTGGGCTTTACCTTATAGATGGTTACAGAAAGAACACCCCAGACAGAGGGATTCCCTCTTCCACTATCCTGGCCCAGGACACATGACCAAAAGAGGCCGGCTCTCTCCCTCAGCTGATGACCTCGCTTTCTAATTTACCAAGAAAATAAAAGCAACCAGACAAAATTGGCTCATTTCTGCCCTTCACTTAATTTTCCAACCCACCTGCATGTACATCCACAATCTAAAAGACGACAATCAAGCCAGATCCTGGGCTGTGCTTGTCAGTCATGGTGTGGCTGTGGGTGATGCTGGCGAGTATGGAAATTGGCCCCCAAGGGGTGCCTGGAGGAGTTAACAAGACAATCTGTGAAATACTCATGGCACAAGGTCTGGCCCAGAGGAGGGCTGGGTAGTGGGTTAGAGTAGCCATAATAACACTCCAATAATGACACTCATCCATCACTCGGGCCTTCTGGGGACTTGCCTCCCAGCAACTCTTAGATGTGAGCAAACAGATCAGAGCAGCTAAGTCGGTCAGCAAGGAGGTCACCGGTTGTCTAACTCCAAAGCCAGACAAATAACTACCCATGACATTGCTGCAAAGTGAGAGCATCCTTTCCTCTCTGACCCATGTGGGTGCCCACCACTTTACTGGGGAAGACTCAGGTCTCCTGCCTCCTGACCCTCATTCTTGCCCCTGTTAGCTCCTCTCTGCTCTGTTCCCATCGATACTCAAGCATCATTAGCATCCGACACCAAATGCTCAGGCATTCCCAGAGTGACTAAGCTCAGGACGGCAACTGTAACATGCCCTGCTGAGCATCACTGCTTGGGCCAGAGTGGAAGGCCTGTCTCAGTGAAACATGCCGTGTGCAAAGAAACCTGGTGATCACTTACACAGACATAACAGAGGGCATCTGGATCATTTTTTGCCTCTTTGGGGGCATCCAGCTGGATGAGTGTGCGTTACCTTGAGCATGGAAACTCCAAGATGGTATCCATGATCCTTAACACCTGGTTTTGAGCCCTTATGTGTAATGTGTTATGTGTGCATGGGTACATGCATTTATATTGTATCAGGACCGGCCTGGGCAACCAATAGTCCATGCAGAAGCGATGGTGTGAGACAGCCAAGTTCAGGTCATAAAAGAAACTACAGTCATGCTTCCCTTGTCAACCAATGCACACGCAGCTGCACGTGCAACAGCGCCCCCAATAGGCTGTACCACATGGTGGCCGTGGCACAGGCTATGCCATCTAGGTTTGTCTTAAATATACTCTCTGATATCCACACAAAAACAAAGTCACCTGACAGTACATCATCACTCGCTCTAGGGGTATCAGCTGC